CCACTGTACTCCAGCCTGGGTGACAGAACAAGACACCATCTAAAAAAACACCAAGAAAACAAAAAACAAACTCAAGAATTCAAGAAGGAAAAGAGAGAAAGGGCAGAAAGATGATTTAAAAAAAAACAATGGCTGAAAACTTCATAAACCTAGGGAAAGATAAGATGTCCAGGTACAGGAAGTTCATAAGACCTTATAAAGATTCAACCCAAAAAAGATTTCACTGACACATATTATAATGAAACTGTCAAAAATAGAAGATGAAAGAGAATTTAAAAACTGTAATAGAAAAGAAACTCATTTTCTACAAGGGAATCCCTATAAGACCATAAGTGGATTTCTCTGCAAAAACCTTGCAGGCCAGGAGAAAGTTGGATATATTCAAAGTGCTGAAAGAAAAAACTGCCAGACAAGAATATGTATCCCAGCAAAGCTGTCCTTCAGAAATGAAAGAGATGTAAACAGTCCCAGACAAACAAAAGCTGAGGGAGTTTATCACCACTAGATGCGCCTTACAAGAAATGCTGAAGAGTTCTTCAAATTGAAACGAAAGGACACTAATTAGCAACATGGAAACATACGAAAGTATAAAACTCACTGGTAAGATACATATCTAATCAAATTAAGAATATTCTAAATTTATAATAATCATGTGTAAATTACTTAATTCTAAAATACAGGTTTTTTAAAAAAAGTATTAAAAACTATAGCTTCAATACTTTTTTCATGAATATACAATATAAAATGATGCAAATAATGACATCAAAAACATAAAATATATGCAGGAAGGTCTGAGTAAGAGTACAGTTTTTTATGCAATTGAAATTAAATTGTTAATGCTTGAAATAGACTACTATAACTAACTATAAGATGTTCTACATAAGCCTCATGATAGCCACAAAGTAGAAACCAATAGTAGATGCACAAAAGATATAAAGGAATCAAAGCATACCACCACAGAAAATCATCTAAACACAAAGGAAGACAGCAAGAGAGGAAGAAACAAAGAATCTGCCAAACAACCAGAAAACAATTACAAAATGACAGTAGTCTTTACCCATCAATAACTACCTTGAATGTAAATGGGTTAAATTCTCCTATCAAAAGATAAAGAGCAGATGAATGGATAAAGAAAACAAGATTCAACTACAGGTTGTCTACAAGAGACTCAATTCACCTTTAAGCACATGCATGTGTATGGGAAAAAAGATATTCCATACAAATGGAAACCAAAAGAGAGCAGAGGAAGCTATAGTTCTATCAGATAGGACAGACTTTACATCAAAAACTGTAAAAAGAGTCAGAGAAAGTAATTATATAATGAGAAAGGGGCCAATTCCACAAGAGGATATAATGACTGTAAATATATATATGCACCCAACATCAGACCACCTAAATATATAAAGAAAATATTAACAGATCTGAAGACATTAATAGATAGGAACACAATTATAGTAGAAGACTTCAAAAACCCTACTTTCAATAATGGATGGGTCATCCAGGCAGAAAAGAAGAAAGAAAATATTGGACTTCAACTATACATTGGATCTAATGGACCTAACATACATACAGGTTGAATATTCCTTATCTAAAATACTTGGGACTAAAAGTGTTTTGAATTTTAGATTTTTTTGGATTTGGGAATATATGCCTTATGTTTACCAGCTGAGCATCGTAATCGAAAAATGCAAAACCAAAAATGTTTCAAAGAGCATTTCCTCTGAGCATCATGTTGGTATTCAAAAAGTTCTAAATTTTGGAACATTTTGGATTTTGGACTAGGGATACTCAACCTTTATACAGAACATTCCATCAAACAGCAGATAATACACATTCTTCTTAAGCACACATGAAAAATTATCCAGGGTAGATCATACAGCAGGTCACAAAACCAGACTCAACAAACTGATGAAGACTGAAATCCTATCAAGTATCTTTTCAGACCACAATGGTATGTAACCAGAAATCAGTAACAGAATGAAAGCTGGAAAGCTGACAACTATGTGGAAATTGAACAAAATACTCCTGAATAATCAATGGGTCAAAGAAGAAATCAAAAAGAAAATTTAAAAAATCTGAAGAAGTATTAAAATTGAAACATGACACAGCAAAATGTATAGAACAAATGCAGTTCTAAAAGGCAAGTTTATAGCAATAATTGCCTACATTAAAAAAAATCTTAAAAATAAACAATGTAACTTTACATCTAAAGGAACTACAAAAAGTTAGAAGAAAATAAAAATCAGAAAAGAAATGAAGACTACAAAAACAGAAAAGATGACTAAAACTAAGAGCTAGATTTTGAAAAGATAAGTAAAATCAACAAAGCTTTAGCTCGACTAGTAAAAAGGAAGACTAAAATAAATAAAATCAAAACCAAGAGACGTTACCATTGATAACACAGAAATGCAAATGATCATAAGAGACTACCATGAACAATTATTCACCAAAAAACTGGATAACCTAGAAGAAATGGATACATTCCTAGAAACTTTTAACTTACCAAGACTAAAATAAGGAAGAAATAGAAGATCTGAAAAGACTTACAACTAGTAAGAAGATTGAATCAGTAATCATAAATCTTCTGACAAAGAAAAGCCCAGGAACAGATGACTTCACAGCACAATTCTACCAAGAAGAAGAAAGAAAGGAGGAGGAGAAGAGGAGGAGGAGGAGGAGAAAAGAAGGAAGGAAGAAGAAGAAAGGAGGATGAAGAAGAAAGAAAAGGGAGGATGAGGAGGAAGGAGGAGGAGGAAAAGGGAGGGAAGAGAGAGGAGGAAAAGGGAGGGAAGAGGGAATAGCAGGGGAATACTTCCAAACTCATTTTACCAAGCCAAGCATTACTCTGACACCAAAGCCATACTAGGACAACACAAGAAAAGAAAATTACAAGCCAATAGCCCTGATGAGCACAGACACGAAAATCCTCAACAAATACCAGCAAACTGAATTCAGCAGCATACTAGAAGAATCATATATCAAGATCAAGTGAGATTTATACCTGGCATGCAAGGATGGTATGACATATGCAAATCAATAAATGTGATACCACACATTGACAAACTGAAGGATAAAAATCACATAATCAGCCAGGTGCAGGGCTCACACCTGTAATCCCAGCAGTTTGGGAGGCCAAGGTGGGTGGATCACCTGAGGTCAGGAGTTTCAGACCAGCCCCATCACTACAAAAAATAAAAAAATCAACTGGGTGTGGTGGC